CTTTTTTTAAACCCTTAGATAAAAGAAGCCAATTTCTGGGGTGCTAATTTTGTAATGAGTGGTTCTGACTGTGGCCATATCTTCATCTGGGATCGTCATACTGCTGAGCATTTAATGCTTCTGGAAGCTGATAATCATGTGGTAAACTGCCTGCAGCCACATCCGTTTGACCCAAGTAAGATGGCCTTTTATAGAAATCAGTACGTCAGCTCCACTTTTGTTCTAGTTGTTAATATAAGAACAATGCAAATTATCCTAGAAGGCAGCCATGAGAGCCTGTTATGACTCTCATTGGGTTTAAAACAAAAAAGACTTATAACCTCCTTTTGGCAGAAAGTATGGGGAAATAGATTAAAGAGTTTATTCTCTAATATTTCTTCTAAGTTTTACCAGTTGCAAGAGGTTTGGCTGACTACACTTTACTTATCCAAACTCAACCTCCAAGCCTTGTTAGTCTTCACATGTCCAAGTTAATTTACCAGAACAAAGGAGCTTGGCTTGTTCTTGCCTTCCATTTGACATTGCCCATGTTTCTCCTAAAAGGCAGTGGATAAGAAAGAAATTTGAGTGATTGCAAGTTGGTCTTAAAATTATGTTCTAGGGTAACTTTTAGGAAATCTTCTAAATAATATTCTCAGTCAACAATTAAATGTATCAGTACAATTTCCATGCCAGCTCAGTTTTGCTATACATATACGTGTGTGTGTGTATACATATACATACATACATGCATGCGTAATATATAACATATGTATGCATGTCTTAATGGCATATTTTTATGCTTTATATTAATATGCAACATTTTATTTCTAGTTCTAGCCTCATCTGGTATAGATTATGACATAAAGATCTGGTCACCACTAGAAGAGTCAAGGATTTTTAACCGAAAACTTGCTGATGAAGTAAGATTTTTATTTATACTTATTATAAAGTGTATGTCACTTTGTTCCTGAAATGCTTTCTTAAAAATACTCAAAGCAGCTCATTATTAATTGGTAACATAAACAAGTTTATTCAGTTAAGGAGGTCAAATTGTAAGAAAAAGAAAAATTAAGATAAAAACATGCCTGTAATACTAGAGAGCTAAAAATCAAAATATTATTTTGCTAATTATAATATCGATTATTGGTAATACCAGGTTATTATAGTTTGAGAAAAACAGATTGACTATTTTTGTGCTTATTACAATGAAGAATCATTTAAAAAACCTTCTGTCCTTTTAAGAAAATGAGTTTTACTATGGCTGGCCTCCATAATTGCAGCCAGATAAGTAGCAGAACAAATGATTGGAGAATCTTTTCCTTTATTGTCATATTTTCAGATTTCTTCAGCTCCTTATTAAACCAACAGTTTTCAAACTGGGCTGTGTGAAGCTCTCAGTTTTTAGTGGGAATGGGAGAGGGGAAGGTGGCTGATACAAAAGCTGAATTCTGGGCTTTTCCTCCCCAGCATTAGGCAGGGTTTTTATTGGTGGGTTTTCATACAAGATTTCTTATGAAAATAAGGGTTCATGGCATTAGTCAGCTACTAACAGTTGAGCTTCTATGAGTAGGTGAGTGCAGCTCAAGTTGATGCTGTGCCCTCTTTAAAACATAAAAGAAGGGTCCATTGCTAAAAAATGTTATTAGTAAGTTAGAAAACCAGTACTCTAGACCAAGGTTGACAGTTCACAGCACAATTCCCTCATCTGCTTTCTAACGGACATTTATGAACTTGGCGTATGTCAGACACCGTGCTGAATTTTAAAAAACCTTCCCTTAGAGCTTATAGACTGGTGGGAAAGACAGACACTGAACAGTCAGCCAGAATGTAGAGAGGCATGCACAGTGTTCTGGAAGCCCTTGCAAAAGAGCAGTTGTGCTTGTAAACGGGGTAGATGGATGGGGGAGTCTTCACAGAGGAAGTACGAATTGGACTGAGTTCACCAGGCATACAGGGGGCTAAGGAGCCCTGGAGATGAAGAATCAGCAATTTCCAGGGTGTCCTAAGGTAAGTGAACCGTTGGTGAGTGGATAAGAAAGCAGCTCCTTGGGGCAAGATTGTAAAGGGCCCTGGGGGTGCCCTGCTGGGCTGAAAATGTGTTGTATGAAATCACTGGGGAGCCGTTGACCACATTAGCACCTTTGTCTTCCTCTCATCCTTTCCTTTCTTCCTTTTTTCCTTTGCCATGAACTTTGCCATTTGCCCTTTGCCCATGATTACATACTAGATCCTTAGGTGTTTATGGATATTCATTTAGTGCTGTCTTGGTACATAAGACACAAGTCATTGGTAACTCTTATCCAAAAGTTTATTTTTCAAGATTACTTTTGCCTCAGTCAAGGTGACATTTTCTCGAGGGATCTGAGTGACCCTGGGGAAATCATTTAACCCCACTGTGTCACTACATGTATCAGCTCTGCCATAGGGGAAGGGAATGAGCAGACACGGGAAGACTGCTCTGGGAAACGAATCATAAGTGAAAAATAAACTGAATTCTTGAAGGTTTTAAGTGGCCTCAAAGTTTGGCCTTTGTCTTTCTGCCAGTTGAAAGAGTAGTGTTGTTCTGTGATGTCACTCCCTCAATGGCAAGTTAAAATAATTACCTGGCATCGAGTAGCCTTATGGTGGAAATATACACAGTGTGTGTATAAAGAATGAAGTAATTCCTCCTCAGACCTGCTAAGTTTTTTACTGTTCTCCTAATCTTCAAGGAAAAAGTACAGTTACATCATGGTTCTTTACGTGGTTGTTTCACTTGCCCCGTAGGTTATAACTCGAAATGAACTCATGCTGGAAGAGACCAGAAACACCATCACGGTGCCAGCCTCTTTCATGTTGAGGATGTTGGCTTCGCTGAACCATATCCGAGCTGGTAAGAACTGTCAGTGTATTATTAACACCATTATTACATCATGTTATTATTTCAGGTCTGCTTTAAAGTGATTTGTACAATTTCTTTTAACCATAAAATGAAGGCAACGTAACTTCTGAGCTAGGAGTTCTGTGAACTCTTGATCTTAGTACAGTAACTTATTTCCTCACAAACCAAATGTATTGAAAAATGTCAGAATGAAAAGACAAAGTCACTTGAAAACTTTTGTCAGCTGTGTTTCTCAGTGTGGAGGATCATACCGTAATCCTTAAGATCTGTGAGAGTAAGTACCCTTTAGTGGTAGACGTGGTCAAAATTAACCCTAGCCCAGACAAAAATAAATGTAACATGCTACTGCAAGGGTTGAAACACATAACCTCAGTAAGTTTTTTTTATATATTTTTTTTGTTTTCACTGATACACTGTGAGGTTTGGTGCCAAAGAAACACAAAATGTAAATATTATAACTAATATTCAAGAAGGAAGTGAATAATCTGTTTATAATAATAGAAGAGATCCAGTATCCATTATAAACAAAATACATTTATCAAACAAAAGAGTATTTGTTGTTCTTCACTGATTTCATAAATTTCTTCATATGTTGGATATTATCTATTATTTAATAGTAACAACCACCACCATTTCTAGAGTATCTATAATGTATCAGGGACCATACCTGTCATTTCACAGATTTTTCCTAATTAGCTCCAAACCTTTACAACTTTGGTTATTTGTAATAACTTGCCCCAGGTCACACAACTGATGAATGGTAAAGCCTGAATGTGAAACTGGCTTCCAAGCCCTTACTTCCCTTTGACCTTGGAAAGTTCACTTGCAGGAATACATTTAGATCATGAATATGACATGCAGTCCACTGGGTGATCTCAGCTCAAACTGCTTTTCAGGCTCATTCCTAGCATTCTCTCCTTCTCTGTCCACACTCTGGCCCTCTTTGACTTGGGGGACACATCAAAGTCTTTTCTACCTCAGGATCTTTATCACCGTGCTACCCCCCTCCCATCCTCACTCTCTGTTAGGATACCTTCTACTTATCGTCAGGTCTCTGTCGGCCGTGGATTAAATATCACTTCCTCAGAGAGAGGAATGGAGAGAAAGTGTACCAGGCAAAGTAAAGGGTAGGTAGCAATTTTCAAAGTCCTGGAGGGGAGAGTGTGGAGCACATCTAAAGAATTGAAAGAAGCCCATAGGAGGTGGGGAGAAAATATTCAAATTGTTAATATTAACTACTACCAGGAAAGAATGGAAATTTCAAATGGAATTTAAACAGAAAAGGTTAGTAGTCCAACAAAATATTTTTGCAGTAGCTTTTGGGTTCCCATATTATTAATCACTGTAACACTTTCGATCCATTTTCTTCAGTAACAGTGAGTAACCCTTAAAATTCATCCATTTAGATTTCAGATTTGAGGGGAGGCAGCATTTTCTAGAACAAGAAAAACATTTGCTGATTAGGATTCCTAAAACTCACTTGTTCTTGTAAAGAGCTTATCTGGCGAATGGCTCTTCCCGAGTTTTTCTATTGAAAACCATTCTTCTCTCGTTTATGCCGCGTCTGTTTTATACAGCTGCCGATGTAGCAGTTTGTTAGCTCATGGCTACTCCCCTCCTCCTTTGGTTTTAGCATTAGATAAGGTAAGTTTTATAGCATGAAGATTCCCTTTCTTCCAGTCCTTTTTGCTGTCAACCAAAAAGACGTAATTTCTAATTGGTTTAGTCAACTTAACTCACCCTCTTGCTTCTCTTATGTAAAAAACTGGAGAGAAAAAGTACCCGAGAGTTGCTTTTATCTTTAAGATACCCAGTTATTTGATGAGTCAGTTATCCACCCCTGTCCTCTCCTTCTCTCCTGGTCTCCAGTATTCCAAGTATGATCACGTGTGCACAGTCGAGGAGAGTTAGTAACGGACTGTGATCCTGCAGGCGCAGGCTAGCCACGGAATAGTCCAGCCCCTCCTTACTCCACAAGGCTTCCTGGGAAGTCCAGGGAATAGATTCGGGGCGGCGCCTTCCTGGTAGAGCTGTGATTTTTAATGAAGGCTGCACTACAGATCCTCTGTCGGGCTTTTTCAGCTGCAAACACTTGGGTCCTACCCCCTGAAGATTTTCACTCATTTTATCTAAATAGGGCTTGAGCTTTTGCATTTTCCAAAAACCAACCAAAGTCATTCTCATGAATACTTCACTAAAGACTATGGTGTCTAAATGTGGTGTCTCTCTCGATGGGATGGGGGCCCCCAAATGTGGGATGAAGCAGATTGGGTGGAAGCCGGTGGCACGGGCAGTGAAAGTATCCACCTGAGGCAGAACAAAGGAGCTAGAAGTTTATCGAATCCACTGCCCAGCAGTGGCTCAGGAAAGCAGAGGACAGGCTGTCTGCCACGAGGCCGAGGGTGGGGGCTGTTTCTAAAGGGGGAAGATGAAGGGGCATGGCTACATGTGGAGTTTTCCCTTTTTTGCTAACTGTGCCTGGTTGTAACTAACCCATTGGTTAGTTAGGGTCTATGGCTTTTTCGAGGTGGGTCTCCTGATGTAGAAGCGACTCTTATTTTCAGTTTTCATTTAAAAGAAGGGTGTTTCTCAGACCTCCTCGGTCTGTAACTGCCAACCAGAGATTGGTGTCAGCATTGAGCTGCTTTGCAGTTCTCCTGCCTCAGAGGTGTAGCACTTCATGAACAAAAGATTGCATTTAATTTATTCGTAGAAACTGGGTTTCCATTCTGAGAGAGAGGACTGTGCAGCAATTGGTTGAGATGGGTTTGAGAAAAGAACAATTATTCTGCCCTCTTCCTCATTCTGGAAGCCACTGTCCGTTATTCACTGACCTGTATTAGACACTCTTGGCCCTCACTTGTCTCCTTATGGCTTGCTTTGGACTCTGCAGAATCCTTTTTTTTTTTTTAAGATTTTTTTTATTTATTTGACACAGAGAGAGATAGCGAGAGAGGGAACACAAGCAGGGGGAGTGGGAGAGGGAGAAGCAGGCTTCCTGCCGAGCAGGGAGCCCGATGCGGGACTCAATCCCAGGACCCCTGGGACCATGACCTGAGCTGAAGGCAGATACTTAACCACTGAGCCACCCAGGCGCCCCTGGACTCTGCAGAATCCTAATGTCTACCCTAAACTCCCTGATTTAAAGGCTGAGACAATTCTTGTTAACCCTCCATTTCCCCATCTTCATTCATAGTGTGACAAAAGGAATTTGGATAAGAACCCTACACACTTTGAAAGAAATAGTGTGACCTGCTTCCTCATGCTTCCGACGTGACAGGAATAGGTTTGTTGAATTAGTCAGTCATATCCAGGATTCCCATTCATGGTAATCTACTTAAGCTGATAGCAACCTCATGTTTTATTCTCTCATGAAAGTATATCACACAATAAAAAGAATGTCATCTCTTTTATATTAACATTCGTTAGGTAGCCTTTTATTGATCAGCGATTCTTCCACTGTGTTTAGATTCCTTGGTGATATATGAAGGTCTATCCAAATCTTGTTTTTGTTCACTTATTTTGCAAATGTGTATTGAACACTTATGTAATAATGATGATAGCTAAAATTTGTATAATTTAGGTTGTAAATCATATACACATACATCATCTCATTAGTTTGGCTTTGAAATGGAGTCTGCACAGAGGGGATTTAGTCCAGTTCAGTTGAACAATAAATATATAGTCTCTTCTGTCTACTGCTCTTGGTATTGTTGACTTAAGATCCAGTGAGAGAGTTTAAGCCTCTGTAGGTAATCAAATTTCAGGATTCAGTCTTCTCGCAGTTGACAGTGGGGCTCAGCCCTCCCCCCATGTTTAACCTTTGTATTTTCCACGTTGCCTTGGGCAAATGCTTCTTGGCCGAATGGGCTCCATCCTCATCCTTTTATACTGTTGCCTTCTCTACATACCCTAATGTGACATATCTGATCTCAGTAAAACTTCTATGCGTTTATTTCATAAACCGTCCCTGAACATCCTGTACGAGGCTCTGAGGATATAAGATAAAAAGAAAAAACTCCTACCCTCGCAGGAGCTCAAAAAGCCCTTGAGGTCTGGTCTGTAAGAAGACACGCAAATAAATGTCCCTGCAGTTAGGATCTTCGTTGCACAATAGACACAGAGAGTCTAGAGTGTAGAGGAAGGAGTTCATCATTCTGCAGGTTGGATGTTTGAAAAAGTCTGGGAAACATTTCACAAAGGGGATAATAGTTGTATTGAGATGAGTAAGCAGAACCTTTATAGCTGGAAAACTGGGCGAGTGTCCCAAGCAGAGGAACAGCAAGGATAAATCGTGAAAGCTGGAGAGAGCATGCCGTGTTCACTCACCAGTTTATAGTTATATTTTCACTTGAGTGGTTAATCTAGATAAGCTCCTTGAGGGCAGAGACCACGTGTCTGTTTTGGCCACCGTTCTTAGCACAACGCCTGGAACATAGCAGATATTTAAAAAATCTTTAAACACACAGATCCTCAAGAATGGTCCCCAGGTTCCCCCACAGCCTCCCCTCAGTCTTTCTGGTGGCATGATACACCTCCTTAGGCTCCTGGACTCCAAGGAACACGGCTTGAAAACCACTGCAGTAGACCGTGATATATCAAGATCCCTAGGGTTTTTCTTTTTAGTTTTTATAGGTTTAGAATTACATGCATATTCAAAGTTACAGTGCTCTGTTTACTCGTTTTTTATTTGTTTTTAGCGGCAAAAACTAACTTATCTACACACAGAAGTGAACTGATTTTTACATGATGATGTGTTGGGCTGTATACATTTTAATCAGTTTTAACTAAAAGGTATTGAAAGTTCTTTCAATTATAATACTAAAAGCATTTCTTCTTGTGGGTGTCATATATGTTTTGCAGACCGTTTGGAGGGTGACAGATCAGAAGGCTCTGGTCAGGAGAATGAAAATGAGGATGAGGAATAACCAACTGTTATTGGCAAGCACTTAGATGTTCTGAAATTTGTAGGAGACATTTATTCTATTTTTTTCTTTACAGAGCTTTAGTGCAATTTTAAGGTTATGGTGTTTTGGAGTTTTCCCTTTTTTCGGGATAACCTAACATTGGTTTGGAATGATTGTGTGCATGAATTTGGAAGAGTGTGTAAAACAAAACTAGCAAAATGTTTAAAAAACTTTTTGCCATGTGTGAGGAGTGCTAGAAAATGCAAAGTGCAATATTTTCCCTAACCTTCAGATATGAGAGCTTGGATCAATGTGGAAGAGTAATTTTCATTATAGTGAAAATGTTGGTTCAAATAAATTTCTACACTTGCCATTTGCATGTTTGTTGCTTTCTAATTAAAGAAGTTGGTTGTTTTAAGATATCCTGAATATGACTTTTTATTTCATGCTTTACTACCTTCACCCACGTTTTCTGGTCTTCTCGGTAACATAAGGCTCTTTCTCTATTTTCTAGACTTGATAACCTTTTCTGTTTTGGCTTCTGTGTGATAGAATCACATAGAGGAGCTTTTTTTCATTTCTCTTTACACAGCATGTTATCTTCACTTCCAGTCACCGTCTGTCACGATTAGCAGTACCTCTCTACCCAAGTACAGGGGTCTGGCTTCCAGCAGTAAGCACAGAGCATTGCGGCTAGCTCCCATGATGGAGCTCTGGAAGCTCTGGCTTCCGGTCTTCCCCTCTCTAACTTCTAGATTTCAACTGAAAGCTGTTGACCATCCAGTCTTAGGATTCCGGGTCTTCCTTTACTCTAGTGTCCGACTCCACCCAGGCCTGTAGCTTGGGGGTTCGGAGCTGAAATGCTGCTGTAGACTTAACCCTGCCATCATCCTCCCTCCCCTCTCCCAAAGTGCCGTGCTTTTCTCCAGCTGGGCCGTGCAGGACTCATGGGGGGGCCAGGCAAAGCATCCCTGTGCTGCATGGAGAGCCGGCACCGCCCCTTCCCACAGGCTGGCTGCAAGGCCAGGAACACCTGCTACTGAGAGAAGGCAGATTGGCTTTTTGGATAGAGGGCAAAGAACTCTTCTGTTGGCTCAGTAACTTCAGTTGGACTTCAGAATCTGGCTCTCACCCTAGACAGGGCACATATGTTTTCACATTAGGAAATGTGGTAAATGGTCAAAGGGAAAAGGAAGGTGGGTGGGGCAGAGGCTACTGGAGGGCTCAGTGGGGTCAAGGAGCTTTAGCCAAACAGGGCCACTGCATGACTTCTGGAAAGTACCAGGGTCTTAGTTTCTGGTTACCAATGAGTTATGGGATCTGCTTAAGCCATGTGACTTCTCTGGGCTTGTTTCCTCCTCTCTACAGTGCGGGTAATCCTATTTGTACCACCTGTGTCCTGGGGCTGTGTTAGGACCCCACGAAGCCACAGAGTTTGAAGGGCTTCACGGAACAACTAAAATGACCACTGGAAGCGCACAGGACATACGTCATTTCTTGCCCTGTAATAAAACAGTAACGGAGATGCTGTAGGGAGGTGCTGGAAGGCGGGTGGGGCAGAGGCTACTGGAGGGCTCAGCGAGGTCAAGGAGTAGTAGCTCTTTGGCCAGAAGAGCCCAGAAGAAAATCAAAATTGTACTGTCCGCTCTGGCACAGGACGTCGGTAGTAGGGGGGCCTGGGGGGCGGGCAGAGGGTACATGCGAACTCTGACCTTTCTGCTCCGTTTTGCTGGGAACCTTAAAACTTACTTTTTTTTTTTTTTTTAATTTAATGGTATTTGTCAAAGGAGTTAGGTCCCCTGCTGTTAATTTTGCAGAGTGTGGGTACTGTGTGTTAAAAAGGAGCGGGCAGGCCAGACAAGCAGTCAAGGAGGCAGCAAAGAGAAAACATTCTAGAGGCAGCGTTGACACTTCCCAACTCCCTGTATGTTGGGGAGGCCCCAGCCGGTCCCACAGCTGGACCCTGGGGCTCAGCTGCAGCTTGGACCCAGGATTATGATCTCAGTGGTGGCAGGTGAGGTGGTCAGGTAAAGGTGGTAGGTTTTGTGCCTGGAGGTTGCTGAGTTTCACTGGCAACCTGCCCCCCACCCTTTGCCTCTGGTTATGGGACAGACATCTAGAGAGTGGGTTGGTGTTCATTAAGCCTCCTTTATTTTTTTTTTTAAGATTTTTTTTATTTGAGAGAGTATGAGCCAGGGGAGAAACAGCAGGCCCCACCCCCCGCCCCACCCCCATTTAAACCTCCTTTAAAAACCTTGGGTTAGGAGGTGCCTGGCTGGCTCAGGCGGTAACCGCAGGTGACTCCGATCTTGGGGTTGTGAGTTTGAGCCCATGTTGCATGTAGAGATTTCTTGAAAATCTTTAAAAAATAGGGTGCCTGGGTGGCTCAGTGGGTTAAGCGTCTGCCTTTGGCTCAGATCACAATCTCAGGGTCCTGGGATTGAGCCCCATGTTGGGCTCCCTGCTCAGGGGAGAGCCTGCTTCTCCCTCTCCCCCCCTGCTCATGTTCTCTCTCTCGCTCTCTCAAATACATAAGTAAAATCTTTAAAAAAAAAATCTTAAATAAAAATGAGAGTGTTCTGTATTTCTGGGTCATGCTAAGTCATTTAATAACAGTCTCTGAATTTAATTGTCTTCGAGGAATTTATGAACAGCACATGGATGGATGTACTGAGGTGAGTGTGGTGTGGACATCGCCACCTCCCAGTTCTACAGCCATCAGCTCCTTCCTGCTCTGTCTCCTTCCCCTTGTAAGCCTACCAGAAGGGAGGCTGCACTCGAGGATGTGGCTGCACACAGTGGGTCAAGGGGGACACATTCAGAAAGTCCACAGCCCAAGTACAAATCCACAATTTCCACAGCTATACATGTACCAAAACAGATATTTAATCAGGTAGACAAAACTAGTCTAAATATATTTTACTCATTTATAAATATTATGATTTATAATAATCCTAAGCATTTTTCTTATCTTAAAAAAAAACCATCCAAAAACTTCAAGTGAAATATATTTCAGGATTAGCTTGCTTTTGTTTTGCTTTGAAGGTTTTTAACAACTTCTGCATCCAGGGGTCCATTATCAGAACACAGCCCAGAACTCCTGTCTCTTAGCGTATCCACACCAGAGTGACAGACCTGCTTCCCACCAAACAGGCTCGCTCCGCAGCACTCGGGGTGGCCATGCTTGCCCAGGCCCGTGATCCCTGTGGGGCTGTCTTTTCATCCAGGAGGGGCTCACTTACCTGTGACTTGGGATATTTCAAAATGGTGGTGTGACAAGGAAAACCAGAAATGGCTTCTAATTCCTAAGCCGTTAATACTATTCAGGAAAATTCTGAGGGAAAAGAACACAGCTTTGTGTATTACGTTCTCCTAAAAATAACATTGAGTAAGGGGCGCCTGGGTGGCTCAGTTGTTAAGCGTCTGCCTTCGGCTCGGGTCATGATCCCAGGGTCCTGGGATCGAGCCCCGCATCGGGCTCCCTGCTCGGCAGGAAGCCTGCTTCTCCCTCTCCCACTCCCGCTGCTTGTGTTCCCTCTCTCGCTGTATCTCTCTCTGTCAAATAAATCTTAAAAAAAAATAATAAATAACACTGAGCAAAATTGTGCTCTTGGTAATCTTATGCAGATTTGAGTCTGTGCTTTGAAATCTTTCAAATAAATCCAATCACTTTCCTTGGGTTGCCGTTTTTTGTTTTTTGGTTTTTTTTAGGTCTGGGAAGCCGATAATCCAGGCTCCCCAGCTCTCTGGTCTCCAACAGTTTCTACCCACCTACTGAGCCCAGCTAGCCTATTCTAATAATGAGGACTTCTAAGTATCCCTCCACCTCCTCCCTTTCTCCTCCTCCTCTGCAAAGTTGCAAGTTGGCTCCTTCTCAGTCCCATGGCCAAGACCTGGCATTTGACCCAGACTCTGGCTTAATGCACTCTGGGAGGTCAGACAATCCCTAGGCTTCTCTCCCTGGATTCTGTGTGTCCCCGCTCCTCAGCCCAGAAGGGTGGTCAGGCTCTGTCCCCTCCTACAGTCACATATGACAGCCATTTTCCTTTGCTTTAGAGTGAAAATTGTGAGTCCCTTCTGTCTTCCATGGGACTCGCCTGGGGTTCTGCATATACTGTGGGTACCAGCGTGGACTCCCATCCCTGTATGGCCTCCTGCCACAGGGGCTTGGAGGATCAAAGGACTCTGTGAGCCCGAGACCCCCGGCCAAGCAGTCACTATCACTGGGGGACAGAGCTGTCCTTAGCACCCAGGTCCCGTCGCAGGGGCTGTAAGGGAGGTCAAGGCTGAACTCGTGCCCTGGCTTGGGACTCTCCAGCAGGCCCCCAGGGGCCCATCATCTTTGATTGCCATTAACAGAAAAGCTCATTGTTGCTCCTTCAGATCTCTTAAGTTCCAAACGCTACTTCACCCTATCCTCCCTTTCTCTTGCCTTCTCCTGCCTCGCCATATCCCCCTTCCCAGAAGACACAATTCCCATGGCAACAACCCCAGCACCTCCTATCCCGGATAACAGTTATCCTCGCCAGAGTTTCACTTCCTGTCCTGGAGATGCCCCTAAAACCAGACTAACGCACCCACCTGCCGCGACCGGGCAGCCACCGGGGGGCTCAGCTCCAGGTACCGCGCAGGACGCTGCGATCCGCAGGGTCACCTCGGAGGGGGCCCACCTGGACTCCGCGTCCCCACAGAGGAAGACATTGCACACCTCGTCGTATCGATGAGACAACCGCGATGCAAGACTGAGGGGCCCAAGGCTGCCCGCCTCGGAAGCGGCAGCGCGGGATGGGGACCCAGAGCCTGCTGCGCCCTCCCACCCCCCGCTCGCCCTTTCGTAGCCGCGTCACCCTCCCCGGTTCCGTGGACAGGAGGGCGGCCGGGGCTCCAGGCTGACCGCTCGACATGGGCAGACCCTGTGGTCCATCCAGAGACTGTCTCTAACGACAAGCATCTCAAGGGCCTCCTGTCCGGATGGGAGAAGCGTCCCGTCGTCAAGTCGGAACACGTCCTAAGATCTCCTCCGTATCAGCGCTCTTTCCGACGCTCTCCGGTCCCACCACGAACGGCCTCAAGGCTGCAAATCCCTCGGCAGTCTCCCGGCTCGCTCGGCTCCGCGCAGCGCCGCACCGCGGCTCCCGCAATGGGGCTGGAGAACGCTGCGCCGCCGGCCCTCCCGCCCCAGCGCCCATCGGAGACGCTGCGCGCAGCGGGTCTCGCACGGAATAGAGCTGCCGGCCGGGGCTCCGGAGGCTGCGGGCTGCAGGGGCACCGGCTCCGCGGGGAGCGAACCGGCGTTCAGCCGCACCCTTCTCTTCCCGGCCAGACACGGCCCACGGCGCACAGCCCCACTGCTGCCCCCTAGTGTCGGGGCCCTGAACGCCCCAGCGCCGCGTGCTCGGGAGCGTGCGCCCCCAGGCCCCCCAAGCCTGGCATCCGGGGCACAGCACAGGGACCCGGTCAAGTGGCAGCTTCAATAAGAGAGGCAAAGATGGGCAACAGCCCTCAACGTGGGCCTGTCAAAACCGGGGCCCGCAGGACTGAGATTCTTAAGCGACCGTGTGGCCCAGTGTCCCCTAGGAAGGCCTCAGGCTGCCCAGGATAAAGCTGGCACGCCGGGTTTGGTGGGGGCAGTTGGGGTTTTGACCTTCTACACGGAGGGAGGGGAACTTGAGAAAGTGTGCGGATTTCCGCCTCTTCCTCTCCTCACCGCCTCCCTCCCGTGCTCCTCCTTTCCTCACTCGCTCTTGCTCGCTCTAACTCTAAGGCTGCATCAAGGCAGACTGGAATTCCTGAATAGGCAAACTGTGGTTCTAGCTGCCCGAAATCCTCCGCGGCTTGGCTCAGACGGTCCCCTCCGTCCCTAAGTCCCCTACCTGGAAATGCCTCCCTCCGCTGAAGAGTAAGAGGACCTGACTTTGCCATTTCTCGGCATCTCGCTCCGCCAGGCCTCTCCCTGCGTGATAACGAGCGGAACGAGCGGAACGCTTTAGGGCTTCTGCCCCGCGCCCAGCCCGGCGCTTTGCTCGGAGCGCATGCGCCGCGTCGGGCAGTGTCCGCAGAAAACAGGGAAGGCGGGGGCTCTGTGAAGCGTGCTAGCTCTGGACAGGCTCAGACGAAACCCTAGCGGACCCCAGCTGGTCTGGGATCTGCCAGTGGGGACTCGGGGTCTCAAGACTCCCTCCAGCCCGGCCTGTGCAGTCCTGGGGAAGCTCCCCTTCACCCCCGCTTGCAAGCTAATGTGCTGCTCTCAAGAAGGCGTAAGGGGCAAGCCGCCCGGCTGTTGCAGCCTAGAGGCAAAGGCCATCTCCGGGCATCTTAGTCGGTCAGGATATGGTCCCTTTACCGGACAAGTGTACGGAGAAATACATACCCGCAGAGCACAGAAAATGCCCTCGGAGGGGCGTCTGCGTGGCCCAGTAGGTTAAGCGTCTGCCTTCGGCTCAGGTCATGATCCCGGGGACCTGGGATCGAGACCCGAGTCGGGCTCCCCGCTCAGCGGGTAGCCTGCTTCTCCCTCTGCCCCTCCCCCTGCTCACGCTCGCTCTCCCTCTTTTTCTCTCTCAAATAAATAAGATCTTTTAAAAAAATGCCCTCAGGTTTAGGAATGCCCCCCGGGAGCGGGAGCAGAGCCCACGGGTGCAGCTACCCTCCGCTCCTCCGGAAAAGCCTCCACCACCCCCCACATCCCGAACCTAGACCCCCGCGGGGCGCCCAGCCGACCGGGAGCACTGGTGATGGGCGCGGGCGCCACGAAGGCAGCAAGCCCCACGCCGCGGGAAAGGGCTTCTCGCCAGACGGCAAAAGGACGACATGTCACCAGGAGCTGGCGAGGCGCCAAAGGCACCACCACAGAGGGAACGTGCCGTCTGGAGTAGCTGCATCTCCTGGGGGCCTGCCCTCTACCGACGCCCTCGAGTTCGGAAGGCGGGGAGGGCGGCTTCCCACGTCGCCCCTGCGCTACTGCTGTCCCACCTCAAAGGGGGGCCGGGCAAGCCCTAACCGGACAGCTCACACTCCCGGCGCTCCGCTTCTGCGTCCGAGGGGTCGGCCTTCGGGGAGCCCCACCCCACCCCGCCCGCTCCACCCGGGCCGGGCGAGCTCATACACGGCGCCCGCAGGGCTGCGCTCGGCCGTCAGACGCCATCAAAGCTGTGCCCGCGTTGGCCCGAGGGTTCCCCCCCCCCCACTATAGATGCCGAGGACATCAAAGACCACAGCGGTACATGATCTTCCCACCCCCTTACCCCACTTTCCGGATGGCTCGAGAAGTGACACGAAGTCCCAAAGGGTCCAAGAGGAGGAGCTGGGCCAAGAGCGTCGGCGGAGCGCCTTTCTCCGCCGTCCTGTGGCACGCTGCCCGGGGCCCGCAAGCCGGCTGCTCTGGGCGGTGGACACCACGAGCAAGCGGGCGCCAGGCCTCCCTGCGCGAAGGGGACGCCCTCCCGGGAGAACAGCAGCTCCGTTTCCCCGCCCAGCTGGGCACCACAGCCCCGCTCCCGCTTGGGAAGATGGGGGGCGGGGGCCCTAACCAAATGCATTATTTTTTTAGTTCTCGAAATGAAACATCTGGCACCTGCTCCTTCCTCGTGTCTTGTATAGTGGTTGCTCCCTTCTTTTTAAATACCAAAGCATCAGTCAATAGGGAGGGGGGCAGGGCGGCCCCATCCCCAGTGACAGCAGCCCCGGGGCCGCGCCGCCCCCACTAGCACCAGCAGGCGGCCCCCGATGACTGCAAGGTCCCCACCAGGATGGAGGCGTGGAAGCCCCTGCGAGAAGCTCTGCTCCCAGGTTCTCCTCCGGGGAGCATTCAGGGTGGCCTGCACCAACCACGCGGATGCGCAGGGGACGGTCCTGCTCTAGCAGGAAGAAGTGCCGTTCTTCCAGGAGCACCGCGAAGGGCTTACCTCCCGAGACCTCTGGGACAGTGCCCGGCTGCCCCTGGACGTCCTGGAGTAGAGGAAGTAACCCACGCGGCCGTTTCCTTCCAAGCCACGGTCCCTAGTCTCCCTTCCATTACCCCCTCCCAAAAAGTCATGGCCACACCTCCGTCTGCTTGCCCTGGAGCCTCCGACGTCTCTGGTCCCATCGCCAGGGCCCACCCGGAGCCGGCGGGCGCTCTCACAAGACCCCGTGGTCAGCGTTTTTCCGGGTGGCTGCGCCCCAGATATCCTTCCCCGGGGCGCCCCTCTGTGGGCCAGTCCGCCCTGAGGCCCTCATCGCGGTTCTGCAGCTAAAATGTCTCCCTCCTCGATGCTCTGCAGCTGCAGCCTCTGACCCGCAAGAGTCCTGCTGCCTCGGCGGCCCCCGAAGCCGGCCCCCGGGACCGTCCGTGCTGCGGCCAGAACCCCGGGCAACGCCTCCTCCCCGAACAGCTTGATCTTGGCTTCGGCCTCTATGACTTTGGCCAAGCTGGCCGCATAACTGTCCAAGGACTCGTGCACTTCGGCTTTCACGTGAAGAACAGGGTTCCTGGCGGCATCTGAGGGGGAAGCAGAAAGGTTAGCCGAGAACTGCGAGCCGCGACTACGGGGAATGTGCCCGCGGATGCTTCACGGCCCGGGGAGGGGGCGGCGCAAACCGAGGGCGTGGGTTCTGTGGCCACGTTCCCTAGGCTCGAATCCCTGACGTCCCAGGTCCTACCTGGGGAGGCGTGGAACTGACCTGCTTCCTCACCTACAGAGAGAAGGTCACGGGGCACCTCTTCCTAGGGTCAGGAAACTGTGATCATTAAGCAATTCTCTGAGACCCCTAGGTCTGGCCCACAAGAGAGGCTTGATAAATACTTCCTAGTAATGATATTCAAAATTCCACACCTCTCAAAGAATTCTCTGGTACTTCAGCTCCCTAGAACTATATAATGCCTATCTCCTGGCCACACTGGCTCACGCCAGCCAGAACCTCAAGGTTGGAAGTAACATCAAGGTCCGCGCCCCACCCAGGATTAGGAGCCCTGACAACTCACACCAACAGAGACAGCGAATCTTCAACCTCACACCCAGTGCCTTACTATTACTGCCCTGGCTGCCCATCTGTCCCCTGCCATTGGGGGGGGGGGGCAGTTCATCCCCTACCCCTCACATTTTCTGGAGAGGGGGCAACTTCTGCCCCACGTGATGAACACTCCCTGTGTCATCCATTTCGGGGAATCTGCAGCCAGCCCCGGCGTGCTTCACACACGTGATGAAGGAAGAGGGGAGGGACACGTGGCCTCCCCCAGCCCCTCTCCCCTGTGTTCCTCTCTGGCTGCAGACAGGCGGCCCTCACAACTGCCATCCCCACTAAGCAGGCCTGATGCAGCCAGACTGGCCTAGGTGGGCTGGGCGGATCAGGGAAGGAGTCACTCCTTTTTTATTTCCAGGGGTAAAATATGATAAAGCCCACGAGGCTGTAGGCCAGACTCTGTCCTGGAGTCTACTTTGTCTCTCTGACCACTGTGACTGCCCCACAATTTGGCTGGGAGAAAACCTGGGATTCACCGCCAACCCAAGGCTCTGACAGGGCTCTCCCTTCCTGTCACAGTCAGCATCCCTGAGTCCCTGACACCATGTCCACACCCGTCGTGCTGGTGGCTGTCCTCGCATGCTGGGATTCGGAGCAGAGAGGACCTTCCTTCCATGGGCACTCTGCACAGTCCCCCGTCCCTCTTCTGATCAGCGTGTCTGGATGGGAAACCAGACCCCAACACTTGTCTCCCACCTGTCCTGATTCCAACCCTAGCACCAAGCTGCCTCTGGAACGGAGGGTCTGGTTTCCCATCCAGAGGCGACTGGGGGCTGGGGCTGGAATCAGGACAGGTGGGAGAAAAGCACGGGCGCCACAGAGCTCATTCTGTTCACGGAACTCTCAGGCCCTCATCGACTCCAGGGCCAACGGATGGTCACGGGGGGATGGTCGCAGCGGCAGCCTCTGCTGATCTAGGAACACTTGGGGGGCCACTGCTTCCATTTCCCATGTGAGGAAGCGGGGCTCAGAGTGGGCAAGTTCAGATCTCTGCCCACGCCTGACCCAGAAAGGAGAGAAACTACAGAGGGCTCAGACTTTTACACAATCCGGCAGCTTCCCGAGGAAAGAGATGGGAATCAGGATCTGTGTGTGTGTGTGTGTGTGTGTGTCCACCTAGAGTTCAACAGCCCCTCCCTTCCCACCTTCCCACTCCAGCAGTGGGAGGCCTGAGGCCAAGTGTGACGGGCGGGGCTGGGAGCAAGCAGGGCGGGGGCGGGGGGGCAAGGCCGGAGGCCTGGGATGCTGGGGATGGGAGCAGGGCTGAGCCAGGGAATTTGCCCAGGTCCATGCCTGTCCCCCCAGGCGGCCCTGAAGCATCAGCACACACCCACCTTTGATTTGCTCCACTTGATCCTCAAAGGTCACGGAGCTCCTTCTCTTGGCGGGGGGGCAAGTACAGTGGGAGGGAGGGTTGTCATCAGATGTGTAGTCCTCGAGCAGCATCACGTCTGTTCCTAAAACCAAGCGTGGGTTGTGCACACAGAACTGGCGAAGCAAGGTCCTCCTTCTCCACCTCTCTCCACCCCCCTGCCCCCTCTCTCCCATGTGTTCAATCCCGCCAACAGGTGCAACTCCTGCCTGCAGCATTTGTCCAAGAAACACTGGGTGCATCACCTCATTTCGGGGTAGCTGCAGCCGGAGCCCCGGGGCTGCTTCAGACACAGGAAACACAGCCGTGTTCCCCAGACAGCAGGTTATGTGCCACAACTACAGTGACTCAGGGCATTGAGCCAGGCCTGGGACGGAGGGGAGGGGGCGGCAGGGCCCCATGACAAGGAGCTCTGCGTTCTGAGGATTCTTCTTACGGTCTGAATTTCCATCATTGTTAAAATATGTTGTGCTAAATAAACATTTAAAACTTGCAAATAGAGAGTCCTTTGGGGATCAAAAAAGAATTGAAAAATATACCCCCCAAAAGAGTGGGGAAACAAAGGCAGAGAGGCAGGGGGTCCCATTAGAGAGAGCTGGGCGAAGCAGGGGTGGGGGGCTCCGGGCTGAGACGGGACCCTGGCCGGACCCTGGGGCGAATGTTGGGACCAGCCTTGTTCCATCTCCAGCTTGCAACCCTTGAAGGCCTTAGTGCTCCGGAAACGAGGAAGACGGGGCAGCCCCGGGGTCCTCCTGCTGTTTCAGGACCGGCTGAGAGGACACCACGGCCTCGCACGAGGGACTCGGGGTGAGAGGGGCCGGCGGACCAGCGGTTCAACCCACCAGCTGACAGGTGACAGAACATTCTCAGGGAACGTCCTGCCTCCAGGGAAAACTGCCCACGACAGAAGGCCGGGTCTTGGTGTCAGCCCGCGACCTACCCCAGAGTTCCATGACACTGGCTGAGGCCGGGACAAACAGGTCAGGGCAAAGATGAGTTTTCACAGGCTCCCCGCTGCCGTCGGCCCAGCTCGTGGGCACAGACTCGCCCCCGGATGCAGAGCGGAGGCCCCCGCCCACCTGCCTCTCGCCAGGGCAGCAAGCAGCGGCCGGAAGGAGGCGCTCCGGCCTGCAGGATCCCCTGGGGGGCAGCGCCTGGGCGGGGGGGTACGGGGAGCATCTGCGCTGGAGATGTGTTTCTTCAGGGAGACCAAGTTTCTCAAGGGCAGGCCCAGGGCTTGCCAGGATGGTGACGAGAGAGTGTGATCTCGGTGGGACTGCCCCTGATAGAGGGAGGACCCCCCCAGTTCACAAACGGGGATGCTCCCAGGCTTAGAAAGAGATTGAGCATGTTGCCCAAGAGAACACAGCTCGGAAAAGGCCCGTCAGACACAGAGAGCCGGTCGCGGCCGCCGGTCTGACACCAGCAGCAACAGCTCATGGTCGCCAGCACGGCTACTTTTCCAAGGGTTTCACTTCACTGGGATCTGACAACAGCCCTGTGTGGGGGAGAGCGGCACCCAAGTCCCCATGCTCTATAGGGGGAAACCAAGGCCCCGAAATGCTGGCAAGCTGAAGGCCACGGCGAGAGGCCCATGCTCGGGGCCCGCCCACCGGCTGCTAGCCTGGCACCGGGCCACGCGGCAGGTGGGACACTTACCTGAGTCCTGGGAGCAGCTGAACCCAGTGTCCCCCGTGCTGCTGCTGTTCCCCAGGGGCTGTCCACCTGCCATGAGAGCAGTGAGGTGGGGGGACAGGCCCAGGTCTGAAAGGTAAAGTCGGCACCATCAGCACAGCCCAGGTCCCGCCGAGGCGGCCACGGACCCTCCCTCTTCGGTCGTCCCCACCGGCCTCCCCACCGCCTCCCCTGTCCTCTGTCTCTGGCACACCGGGCTCTCAACCCATGGCAGAATCGGGAGTCCCCAGCTGCCCTTTCCCCTCTCTGCCTCTTGTTCCTATCCCGGGGGTGGGGGGGGTGTCTGCCCTGTGACAGGATTCCCCGGGCCCCCGAAGATGAAACTCTCACACCACCACCACACGCCAGAAGGCAGGTGGCAGGGAAAACGTGCGGCGCGTGGTCTTGGGAGATGGCCTTCCAGTTAAACATGGGATGTGGGTGCACCGTGACCTCCTGAGATCCCACTTGAATACGGGGAAGGAATTTTCAAGAGGCGCAAACCGCAAAGTGGGAGAGAATGCCTACAAGCCGGAAGGTGAGGACAGGGGGCCTGACCCAGGGAGCGGAGGCCGGCGGCTGGGGAGGCCTGGGTGGAGGCCAGTTCTCACGCAGTGCCCTCCAAAGCCCAGGACCTGGAGGCCCAGGAGCCTCTGCAGCAGGTGGGGCTGGACAGAAAGTCTCCGTAGGCAGTGGCGGGTCCCGTCCACCACTCTGCCCAGCCCAGGCTCAGGAGCTCGGGCCCCTTGTTGGCAGGAGGGGATAACCCAGGGCCGGCCTCAGAGACCCCCGCCACGGCTGAGGCGACACCAGCTAAACTGCGGGCGCAGTGACAGGCCACAGAGTGAACAGCAGGACCCCCATCCCTCAGTTCCCGCAACCTGGCCAGGAGAGTGAGAACCCTTTCAGGGGCGGTCGAGTGGCCAAAGCGCCACAGTCAATGGGCCTCGTGCGCCCCCACGCAGGGCCCCCGCCCGCTCCCAGGGCCTCGCCACCAACATGGAGGAAGGCCAAGGTTACTAGACGCTCAGGGAAAGGCATTAGCTTGAAAGAGATGAAGGAATACAAAAGAAAGAAAGAAAAGAGAAAAAAATGGATCTCAGAAGAGACAATGGAGGAAGCTTAAGAATTAAAAAAAAAAAAAATTTTACTTGAGTCCCCTGAGAAAGTTGAGAGAATAACGACTCCATGGAGACCACAGAGGTCACGGGAAGGAGCTGTTGGCAGTTAAAGCTGCGGCACACGAAGTCAAACCCCCCTGGCCTGGACTGAATGAGCACCCACTCTCCCCCGCGGTTTGCCTACAGACCGGACGGGACTCTGTTCTTTACTCTCGCCCGGAGCCTTCCGAGGGTTCGAGGTGATGGACAGCACGCTTCCCTTCCTTCCCCGGAGTCCAGGAGGAGACGAGAAGGGCAGGCTTCTCTCCGAATCACCCGTCCGTGAGCTTGGGGAACTGCGCTCGTGCGGAGCGCGCTGGTGGAGTGGACTGGGGCCAGAGAAGACCCCGCACGCGCTCATCCCCATCCTGGGCCTTGGCCTCAGCCCGTGACCACGGCTCGGCAGGAAGCCCGGCCTGGGGAGGGGCCCGCGGGGGGCCAGGCACTGCCGACCGGGGTGGCCGAGGCCGCGGTGGGTTTGGGACACGTCTCTGAGGCTGCGGTGAGAGCCAGAACATGGCCTGGTCTCCAGCAGCGGGACGAGTCGTCTGAGCCAGACCGCTGTGGCTGGGCTGGAAGGTCTGGAACCGGCCGCCCGGCGGCCCTGCCCCGTCCTGTGTTTACCCGGCATTTACCACTCCACAGTGGGCGCAGTTACCCTGGGATTTTTCACACGAAACAATAACACATCTACCGGGTTGGGCCCAATCCAAGCCCTGTTACAAAATTAAAATAAAAAAGGCACAAAGGTGACAGGCCCCGGGGATCTGATCAAGCCTGGGGTGACTCAGAGTCACTAGTGCCCTGCAGTTCTGAGCTGAATCGGGCACTCCGAAGTCACCGGAAGGTGACACCAGGAATGGAACGTGTAAGAGCAGGTGGGGAAACTCAAAGGTCCCAGGGTGGCCTTCCCTCCCTCCAACCCCGACCTCCCCAAGGGGCCCTGCAACAAGGCATCTCTCCTGTGTGTGTCCGCATCCTTCTCTCCAGAGGACTGCTAGAAAGGCCCTAACCCAGTTCCAGGAGCTTCGGGCACCAGGTGGCAGGCATTTGTAGAGGCTGCCTTCCCACGGTGCCCAGGCCACCCTCCCAGGCTGGGGTGGGGTGAGCCCTGGGCTCTCCGCCCTGCCTGGGATGGAGGTCTGAGTCACCCGGTGGACGAGTTGCTGGAAGGGCAGCTTGCCCTATCTCCTGAAGGCTCCTGATCACCCGAAGCCACCTGTCAGCTCTGGATTTGTGGTCTGGCCTCGCCAGACCACGTGTGAGCATTCAGCTCACCTTCCAGCACTAGAAGTCAATGTCAGCTCCAGAGCTGACCCAGATCTCCATTCCTCAGGGAGCCTCCCAGGCAGCAGGCACTTTGGTGGCTCAGTGACAGATAAAAACTTAAAAACCTTAGGGAAAACCTTTGCCTTTGCACTTCTTCAGCTTGGAGCTAACAAACCCACTGATTATGGTGGAAATCTGTGTATGAAATAAACATGACAACGTGTTTCTCAAACTCCTGGCCTCCCTGAGTCAGCGGGGAAGCTCCAGATATTTCTGGAATTCCTCTCTGCCTTTGCTCACAGCACGCTGAGGATTCCTTGGTTAAAACTTCCCAGGTGGCCACCCAAGTGGAAAGGAACAAAACCCAGACAGAGCTTGCAGTCCTTTGTGGCTCCTTTTAGAAGGAATCTCCCCTTACTTCTTTCCCTGTGCGACCACCGGGGCTCGGGCACTGAGGGAGGAGGCCCAGAAGCTGATTTTGGTTCTGGAGTCTGGGCGGATCCAAGCCAGGCCCACACGGGGCGTCCGAGGAGGGTCCGCCCGGCGGGGCTCAGCCAGACGGACCGAGGCCCAGAAGGCCGCGGGCGTTCCCGGTGTGGGCGGGGCGCGGAGGCGCGGGGCGGGGCGCGGAGGGGCGGGGCGCCGGCCACCGGCCGCCCTGGACTCGCCAACCAAACCACAGCTGCCGTTTCCCGCCCCTTCTCCTGGCCGCAAGACCTCCGCCAGCACCGTCCCAGGTGATCTGCATGGAAAACCTCGGCCAAAAGCAGACGCTTCTTTTTGCGCTAGCTACCCTCTCCTCCTCCATTCTCTTTCCTCGTTCTTTTTCTTTCCCCATTCCGGCTTCCATGGAATATAAAGCAGGTCATATTTTTTGCCTAGAAGACAAGTGATTTACAAAATGGGAATAAGTTAATCAGAGAAACGAAACCAGACCCTGGATGCAGTCCTGGCTCACAAGGCGTACTTGGACACAGGAATTGGCCAGGGGCAGGCAGGGCATGGGCACTTCAGTGGTTAAAATCCGGGGTATGTAGACATTCTTTTTTTCCTCTGGTCAAAATAAGAAGTCCCTCCCTTGATCTCAGGGTCGTGAATTCAAGTCCCACGTTGGGCATGGAGGCTACTTAAAAAAAAAAAAAAAGCGGAAAGTCCCTGACTTCCTTCCTCTCTCAAGAATAAACATTCCATCAGCCCATGAAATAAATCAGTGATGTTGGTTTGTTATTGCCTCACAGAAAAACTCTCCTATCACCACCACCACGGAGTATTCACGATAATTATGAGCTATCTTTCCACCCTCTTGAGAGGGAAGTTGGAAGACTTCTCTCAACTGTAATCTGAACTAGCTTTTTCCAGTTGATCTAAATGTCTTCAAAATCTCTCTTCCAATAGCACTTCCAGGTGATAATCTCCCTCAAACATGACCCAAAAAATCCAGCTATGTCCCCACTAGAATAACACGGTACTAACGGCTAGAGGCAAGATCCACCAATGCATGCTAAAAATACTGGGTGAAGGCTGAAGGAGAGAGAGGATATTTGCACAGCCTCAAAGATCTCCCCCATTGTGTGTATTAATTGCAATGGAAACCACAGTGACTTTACAGGGGAGAAACCTGACAGATACCCCTGAACTGTATGGACTGGAAGTGTCCCCCCAGAATTCATATGCCCTAAGCCCCAATGTGATGGCATCTGGAAACAGGGCCTTTAGGAGGTAATCAGGAGTAGATGAGGTCATGAGGGTGGGGTCCTCAGAAGAACAGACCTTGTTCTGTCCTGTCTCCCCGCATCCCCATCATGTGAGCCCACGCAAGAAGACAGCTTGGAAGAGCGCTCTCACCAGAACCCAACTGTGTGGCACCTGATCTCAGACTTCCAGCTGCTGGAACTGTGACAACTCTGTGTCTGTGGTGTAAGCCCATCGTCTATGATATTCTGTGACAGGAGCCTGAGCTAAGACATTAAGCATCAAGGTAACATGAACTAGTGGGCGCCTGGGTGGCTCAGATGGTTAAGCGTCTGCCATCGGCTCAGGTCATGATCCCAGGGTCCTGGGATCGAGTCCCGCATCGGGCTCTCTGCTCCTTGGGAGCCTGCTTCTCCCTCTGCCTCTCTCTCTCTCTCTCTCTCTCTGTCTCTCATGAATAAATAAAATCTTTAAAAAAAAAAAAAGGTAACATGAACTAGTAATAGGACATATGTGCCCCTGACGTGACCACTACAGAGCACAGCACCCTCACAGCATCCCTGCCCAAAACATACGACCTCATTCTAATCCTGAGAACACATCAGCTAAATGCACCCGGAGGGGCCTTCTACGAAATCCCTGACCAGGGCTCCCCAGAGCGTTACTGTCATGGGGGCCAAGGGAAGAATGAGGACTTGTCAAAGCTTGAACAAGACAAAGAGGGCCATGACATGATTGTGAACTGGATCCTGGTGGGACAATGGGTGAAATCCGAATCAAATGCATAGTTAATATTAATGTCTTAGTTTCGGTAACTGTTGTGGTTTGGCCAGATGTTAACACCAGGAGAAGCAGGGTAGATGCAATTCTCTGTACCCACTTCCCAGCTCTTCTCCAAGTCTAGAATTATTTCAAAATAAAAAAGGGTTAAAAAAAAAAAATCTATCTCAGCCTAGAGTAATTCCTCTGGGTCTCACCAAAGGTGAAAGGATTGTCTCCAGAAACTTGTCAGCTCCCTAATCGTTACCAGATGGAGGAGCAGCTTTATACACAGGAGATGGTGACATGTGGCGGGGGGGCTGGGCACAACGTGAATTACTGGTGACAATACGAGGAAGCCGCTGACCAGCAAGAACAGCCCACGGAGGAGCGTGTTCGGGGATGGGCAGCTGAGGCCGGGCGGCAGTGCCTGCAAGTGGGATGTGCTTTACAGAACACGGACAGGACAGGACGGCCAGGAGCGGAGGGTAGTCCAGTCCAATGCCTGGGTTCTGCTGTTGGTAGAAAGAAGGCCAGCGGGCCGTGGCTAGGCTAGCAGAAAACGGATTTCTGAACTCTGGCGTCCCCTGCCTTGAACTGCTGAGCTTGCACAAGGGGCTTGGGAAAGACAGGGGACACTCTGGGATGTTCCTTCCCCGATGGGACACCTGGGCTTGGAGCCTCTGAGAGCTCAGCCATCAACACGGCAGAGCGCCCGAGAGGACCACAGGCTACTCCTGGCTGAGGTGGGCACCCCTTTCCCAGCAGGTTCCCAAGTTACCTGTGATCCTGTTGGAAATGCTGAAGAGCCTGGAAGCCCTCTGCCGCGGCACGAATGGCTCCCGGTGGTACCGATCCCCAAAGCACAGGCCCAGCAGCTCCTTGCGAACCGTCTTGTTCCAGAGCCCATAGATCAGGGGGTGGCAGATGGCGCTGGTAAAGGACAGCCACGTGGCCCAGGTCTCCAGGGTCGGGGAGACATAGTTCTTCCCCCAGAGGGCCTCGGAGGTGATGACAAGCATGTAGGGGCCCCAGGTAACCATGAAGGCCCCGAGGACCACCAGGATGGTGATGAGGGCTTTGCACTGGTTGGCCGAATAGACCACGCCCTGAAAGGCGTTCTTCCTGCTGCCGGAGGAGGAGGTAGAGGTGCTGGAGTTCTTCCTCCCACCCCTCTGGGCGTCCTCCTCCACGAGGACCACCGCGCCGCAGTGCACCTTGCGCGCCTTGACCCTGGCCACACGGAAGATGACGCCGTAGCACACCAGCATGACCAGAAAGGGGAACAGGGCACACCAGATCTGCCAGAAGGCCGTGTAGCCAGGCTCCCGGTGCCACGCCGCCACACACATCCACTTGAACTCGTCAAACTCCACCGACGACCAACCGAACAGAGGGGGCAGGCAGCCGATGAGGGAATGGAGCCAGATGTAGACAAGGGCCATCACAGCTCGGTTCCCCGTGATCTTCATGGGGTACACCATGGGGTACAGGACAGCATAGTAGCTAGAGAAAGGATGAAGGGAGACAAGAGACAGCAGTCAAAACAGGGAAAATATCCCCAAACGGGCACCCAGTGCTCTCCGATGTGGGGAGTTTTGCTAAACCTCTCCATCCAATCCAGCCATGGGGCGAATGCTCCTATAAGTAGCCCCTTCCCCCAACTTGTCCCCGACAAGTCACAGACGGGGCCACGTTACACAGCTTTGTGGGACCCTTCTTCTGTCAAGAGCTGGATGCGAGGATGAACCCAGAGCTCAGGCGGTCCTGTTTCCAAGTCACAGTGCCAGAGCCCAATCAGATCCAGAGCTGGGGGAGTTCTGAGGGATCCTGCCTTGAGCCAGATCACGTCTGTGTTGCCGGCATTAACCCACTTAGATCAGTTTTCAGAGGGTCATTAAAAACCAGACTAATGTGGGCGCCTGGGTGGCTCAGTCCTTAAGCGTCTGCCTTCGGCTCAGGTCGTGATCCCAGGGTCCTGGGATCGAGTCCTGCATCGGGCTCCCTGCTCAGTGGGGGCCTGCTTCTCTCTCCAGCTGCCGGTCCCTCTGCTTGTGCTCTGTCTCGCTCTCTCTCTCTCTCTGACAAATAAATAAATAAAATCTTTTAAAAAAAACCTAAATATCGAAGGACTATGGGGTTCATTCATTCGAGAACATTCACCGAAGGCCTGCTGTGCAGAGCACTGTGCGGTGTACCAGAAAGGCAGCGAGGAGAGGCGGGGCGGACAGACGGTAAGAAGAGTACGAGAGTCTGGAATAGGAAGAGCTACATGTCGTCCTCACAACAACTGCCTGACGTGGTAAGTATTACCATCACCCTCATTTCACAGATGAGGACACCACAGCAGAGCAGGAAGACGCAGCCTGCCCAAGACAAGGGAAAGAAACAAGACATACAGCCAGTCCCCAACGCACATGCCAGCCGGAGTCCACACGACAGGGGTGGCTGCCAATCCCTTGGCCCTGTGTGGAGTGGGGAGGCCTGGCGGGGCCCTGGCCCAGACGGCGGGGTCAGCGCAGGCTTCCTGCAGGAAATGGCCCACAGACCCAGGTCTTCAAAGATCAGAGGCCCTGGCCCAGGAATAAGTGAGGTGGAAGGCAGCCTGGGGGGTGTGGAGACGCGAGCCTGCGCCCCATAGGGAAGCTGCCCAGAGCGCCATCAGACAGGTGCAGAGTGGAGGCGGAGCCGGAGATGGGAGGCCAGGGGCCGGGGGCCTGCCTGGGCGTGCGAAGCCTTGCAGGCCTGACCCTTGAACTGGAAAGGGTGAGAGGATGTAGACCATGGGGTTGGAAGGAAACCAGCACCCTCCCCACCCAGACGTTTTATCCAAAGGAAAAGCTGTTTCATGAATAATAGGGTTTCCCCCTGAGGGCAGCGTGTGCAAATGACAGGGGTGGCCACGCGGATGCTGCCTGGTACAGACAGGATGTGAGAAAATGGCCGTGGCTCTGAGGGTCACACATCTCCCGTGAAGCCTCCTCCCCCACTGGGACCATCCTGAGTCACCTCTGGGCACCAGCGGCTCAGGGACAGGGCCACAGCCTGAACTGCCCCCTGCCACACCTCTCCCGGAGGGGCTGCCTCCCCCGTCTGCACCCTTGGGGAGCACCTTCCTAACCAGAGGTCAGCCTGGGGCTGCTGATGTGGGGCTGCGGGCTCCTGCCAAGATGGAGCGTGGAAAGATAGCGTTTCTGGTGTGGGTTCTGAAGAGGATCCTGCAGGGATCCCGCCATGGCTTACGGCTATCACTGCCCCCCGCCTGGGGTAAAACAGTCTTATGCTGATACCTGGCCTCGCACCTTGCACGTCCGTGTGGCCCAGTGAAAGGAGCATGCCTTTGGAGCTGGAACACCTGGCTTCAGACGGTGGCTCTGCTGTCCACTCGCTGTGTGACCTCTGGTGGCTGATCGAACCTCTCAGAGCTTCAGTTCCATAGCACGTGCCACAGGTCTGCGCCACGAACTCAGCGGGTGAGACTGAGGGAAAGGCCCGGAGTGCACCTGCTCTTCCCACGGCAGTGGGGACAGAGCCTGGTGTCTGCCTGACCCCAACCTTTCCGCCTTCCTTCCTGAAAATGGGAGCCCGGACTGTTCACGCTGCTCCCAACCGCCATGACCGAAAGGGAACACTGGGCCCTTCTGAGTCCCGAGAGATGATGCAGGCCATTCTGGTGGTCTCCTACCTCTTGCCAGGTGATGGACGAGACATTGACCTGTGCGGCATCATCCCAGCAAATGAAATGAGAGGGCGCACGCTACGGTCAGATGGAGGGGCGCCTGGGAGGTTTCCTTCACTTTTAAAAAGAAAGAAGGCAGAGATTTCTCCTTTTCTTTCTTTCTTCCTCTCTTTCTTTCTGTTTTGAGACTTATTTGAGAGAGAGAGCGCATGTGTGAGCAGGGGGAGGGGCAGAGGGAGAGAATCTCAAGCAGACTCCCTGCTGAGAGAGGAGCCTGATTTTTTTTGAGGGGGGGGTGTTCCCACAACCCCTGAGATCATGACCTGAGCCGAAACCAAGAGTCGGACACTCACCTGACTGAGCCACGCAGGTGCCCCAGATTGCTACTTTTCTCTGCCCTTTAAAAGACTGCAGGCCCTCTGACCTCAAGACACCTCAGGGGCAAGAGTGCGTCCCCCAACTCCTCTGACCAACTCCGCTCTGGCAGTCATAAAAACAATTACAATTAATAAGCTGTCCTCTACAACATACCCTTCTGGCTATTCTTAACACCCAGTTATTATTATTATTTTATGGCAAGACTTCTTTATTCTAACCAATGGTACTTGTTTCACCCACTGACTAAGGTTCTGGCTGTGAGCAATTCCAGTGGAACATGACAGCAATCCTTCCCAGCTCGGTCCTGAGTCCCACCGGGATGCTGGGGTCGGGGCCGGCTCCCAAGGGGTCAGTCTCCCCGAGTCAGAAGGGCCCCCCGCAATGGGCCAGAGTGCTGTCCGTTTATATTCATACCCTCCAAGCATTACGCTGGTTTTAGGGTTTGCTTTCATTTTCTGTAAAATTCATATACAATGAAATGCACAAATCTATAGCTCTATGAAAATAGAGAACATTCCCACATCTGCCCACAAAAAAAAAAAAAAAAAAATGGATTTCGTAGATTTGGGATTTCATTTCTTTCAACTGAGCCTCATTTAGGCCTAGTTGCAGGTTCAAAGGAAAATACAGAAAAGCAACTCCCTGCCCCGCTGCAGGCCAACAGAGGCCAAAACAGAGGGCTTCCTTTGCCTTCTGGGCTTCTAACTGGCTTCCGAAGCTCTGTCTTTTCTCCAGCAACTCATCTTTACACATGAGCCCAAGCACGAGCCCCGGTCCAAAAGAGGCTCTCACGATGTCGCGTGTAACAGGAAGTCGTTCTGCACGCCGGGGCTCTAAGGCTGAGCTCTCCTGGGAGAGCCAGCCCTCCACCAAGGACGCCGGCTGCAGGAAGACCACTCCACTCCAGACACCAACGGAGCCCGAGCCGACGACAGCTACCTCGGGGAGAACACATTAGCTTATGCTGAGCAGTCTCCTAAAAGCACGAGTGATTTCCGTCACCATCACTGGCCATCCCACAGTTCCAGCTCCTTTCATTTATTAAACACTATTTTTAGAGCTGGGGTTTCATCCATCCCAGGGCAAGGTGGAAACATGAGCTGCTTCCAGGCTGAGCCACAGGTGACCACGTCACAGACTTAGGGTACGAGCCTTCCCAGGTCCAATGACAGTCACCACCTGGGCCTAGGTCCATGTGGCTAGTTTAGAACACTGACATTTCCACCGAATTTCACTCCGGTCCGCTCTGTTTTTACACTCTGTGTTTTGCTCTCTCTTCATGAGGCTATAAGATAAACGCTTTTGGCTCATCTGCCAACTTAGTTTGATGGATTTCTTCAGCGGGGGTTCTCACCTGGGGACGAGGGGTCTCCCTGGGGACAAGAGGCAGTGTCTGGAGACACTCTGGGTGGTCCCAACCAGGGAGGACGTCCTGCAGCGCCCAGGCCGGTCCCCCACAGCAAGGGTTATCCGGCCCAAGATGTCAGCACTGCCAGGCTGAGAAACCCGGAGTTCAACTCACCGCTTGCTGGACCTGACTGGTGGCTCACTTTGCAGTCTCTGGAGGTGAGTAAGAGTCCGGACTTTACCTCCTCAGAACTGGACGAGTTACCTACCAGCCATGTGGGCTTGGGTGAGCTCACAAAGCCTCATTCTGCTCGTCTGCAGAATGGGGGCCAGTCGAGCTGTTGCAAGAATCAGCTGGGATGAATGTTTATTAACAGCACAGTGCGGCGCCTGGCAAGTGACTACCAGCAACCCTTTCAGGTGAGGTCATGACCCATGCCCTAGGTTTTCTCCTCTGGCACTTTCTTAGAAATGTGCCCATCTCTTTCTTCTAGTCCCATTCTCTCTGTTCCTCCTCTCTCAGGTTTTATTGCTTTTTCCTCTTCTCTCTCTCCCTCCCGACCCCTCCCCATCTCTCCCTTCCTCCCTCCCTCTCTTATGCACAGACACACACACACAGTTGCGTCTTTAGGTTTCCAACAGACTAGGGCAAATATGTAACCTCTGAAATGACCAAGATTGAGTAAAATTAGTTTACTGAAACTAAACAGGCAGAAGGAGCGTATAAGTATGTCATTTAAATGGACAGGATCAAGTTAACTGGTCCTGTCAATCTGCTTCTTTAAGCCACATGAATGACCAATAATAAAAAAAATCAACTGCGTCTGCCCTGAAGTCATCTGAAAACACCACACTTTGCGGCAGTTCCTACACTGTAATCACAAGGATCTGGCCGCGACAGTGGCCCACCTCGGGCTTGCAGGGGAGTCACCAGAGATAACCAGTCCCTGACTGCCCGTCACCAGCGGGAGGCAGACGTCCCTTCTCGACTCGTGGCTGTATCATGAGGAGGCGCTGGTGCCAGGCTGTGGGGCCTGTGGCGCGGGGATCAGAGCTCGGGCGGGACAAGTGTGCTGCCATGTGTTGTGGGTGTCACCCCGTCTCCAGCCACGCGCCCCGGCCACGGCCACAATGGGCCCACACACCTCCCCGGCTCCGCGCCTGGCCCAGCCCCGCGTCCCTTGTCCCTGCTCTGCAGCCTGGCTGCCCCTCCAACATGTTCTGTGGTCCGGTCACCCATCCCTCTCCCCTACACTGAGCTCCTCGGCGCGTCTGCTCCTCTCCCCGGGCTGTGTCTCCCCAGCACCAACCACTGTGCCAGGCCCGCGTCAGGTGCCCAGTAACTGTTTCTCACAGAAACAACTGGAGGCTGTGCCTTCGGCCGGCAGGGTCCTTCCCACCGTTTACACGCCTGCACCGTCCTACTCGCCGTTCTGACTAGTTAGTTCGAATGCCCCCTTTGCCCGGGAGCCAACGCAGGACTGGAGCCGTGCCAGTGGCTACTTCTGCTTTGGGTTCCCCCCCACACTCTCCTGCCAGCCGTAAACTCCTGGTGGGCAAGGTCTGTGTCCTGCCCGCGCCTGCATCCCGCCACCCTGAGCCTTCCCCAGAGTGGCCGGCCAACAAGCACCCCAGTGGGAAAGAAGGTGCTGGAAGAGGTCAGCCATCTCTGGGATGGTGCGCTCAGACAGCACGATGAGAAGATCTGTCAAGCTTGCTGGGAACCCAACGTTCAAGCGAACACACAGCCCCCCTGAGCCGCCCTGTCACGCAGGCACAATCAGAGGACCCCTGAGAGGCACTTAAAAACAAATCCCCCTGCTCTGCTCTAGCCGTGTGCCCTCCCTCCGTGCCCCACAGGACCCAGGGCCCAGGAAGGGACACTCAAGAGAGCCACGATTTTTAAAAAACACAGAAATTAGAACAGTGAGATCCCACACCTTCCCACTGCCGACAAAGTTCCAATTATTTTTTTTAATGTTATATAATCAGTCTTGATGGGATTGCTGACAAATGGCTACTGGAATAAAATCTGTACATCTTCTGAAAAACAACCTGCCTTTGATACATGAAGAATCTTGAAAGTGTGTTTACTCTTACCAAAAATACAATTCCACAACATACATGTTCCTCAAAACTGCTATCTAGAACAGTAAGCTAGGAAGGAACTGTAAAAATAAATTCTTGTATATCCACAGGATGGAATACCATGGAACCATTAAAAATCAGGTTCTTCGGGCACCTGGGTGGCTCAGATGGTTAAGCATCTGCCTTCGGCTCAGGTCATGATCTCAGGGTCCTGGGATCGAGTCCCGCATCGGGCTCCCTGCTCCTCGGGAGTCTGCTTCTCCCTCTGCCTCTCTCTCTCTCTCTGGCTGTCATGAATAAATAAATAAAATCTTTAAAAAAAAATTTAAAAAATTAAAAAATAAAATAAAATAAAAATCAGGTTCTTCAAGGGCATTTGACATTTGCAGGTGGGAGAAAATGCTCATCATCACTTGCTAAGTAAAAAAGCAGGTCACAAAAACCACACGTGCCGGAAAGCCTATTTAAAAAACGTACCGTACGCTACCAAAACTTAGTAGAGGCAAATATACTAAAACCGAAACAGTGATTGCTTCTGACTGGTGGGATTATGGATTTCTTATTTTATTGTTTACATTCTCTGTATCATTTGCATTATTGGAGAAAAAAAGATATTTAGAGAGGCCAACTGATTAGTTCTGACCGACTGCTTCCTTCATTTTGCATTCCCTACAGCCACAGAGAGCCGACAGGGTCTGGCCTGGGGCCTGGGAGAGGCCTGTGCTCTGGAGGAACCATCCGCTACCACTAGTCAGCTAGACGACGGACGGTCCCGAAGAAGCCCAGCGGCTGTGTCACCCAGTGACAAGAACCCGGACTAGCCTCCTCCCCCATCCTTCAAGCTCAACCTACTCTCTCCCTTGGAAGTCAAACACTTGCCCGTGGTGAATGAAGTGGCCAATCCTAGTAAGCGTGGTGAGCGTGGGGGCCCAACCAACCTGCTGGACAGCAGGCGGCCCCTTGGGAAACCCTGGACCTAATGTCTCTGACACATCACTTCCCCAGCTTCTTTTTCTCATCTATAAAGTGTGCATTAGAGATTTTGAGAATTTTTTTTTTTTTAAGCATTGGAATCTCTTTTAAAAAATAAACCCAAATGCAATAAAATCAGAGGTGCTCTGGTTGAAGGAAGGGCATGGAGGAAGAGGCAGAACTCTGCTTTCTCGTCCTCCCCAGCAGAAGCCCCCGACGTCCTCCCAAGGAACTAAGACGGTGTGGAAGTCTCAGGACCAGGTGATCTCTCGGGTCCCCCTGGGCACACAATCACTCCTTAATTCTTCAGTTCTCTGAGGCAAGCTTACCGGTCCACAGCGATGACCCCGAGTGTGAGCATGCTGGCCGAGCTGATCAGCAGGTACAGAAGGGCCGAGAAGTTGCACCAGACCACGCCAAAGATCCATTCCCTCCGAATGGAGCTGGTCGCCACGAAAGGCAGCACCAGCACGGACAGCAGGAAGTTGGACAGCGTGAGGCTGAAGACGAACTTGTTGCTGAGGGTGAGGAGGTAAGACTTCTTGTACAAGGTGACCACGATGACCAGGTTGCCCAGGCAGACAAAAATGGTGATGATAATGATGGTGATGAAGTCGGTGATGACGGCGCCCCCTTCACCACCCTCCTGGTCCGTGAGGTTGCTCAGCTCCTTCCTGTGGCCGAGGGAGGAGTTGAGGCTCATGGTCAGGGCACCTCAGCGTGCGGTGGGCAGAGCATGCCGGACCACTGGAAAAAGAAGGTAGGACCAGCGGGCAGGGGAACACTCGTCAAATCCCATCATATGCACTTGACACGAGAGCAGCAAGAGACCCCAGTTCTCCCATCAGTCCTGAGACCCTTACCCAGTCTTATCCACTCAAGCTCCACCACAGGGGCCTGTTTTCTACAACCAATTTTGTGTGTGACTCCCTGGGTCTCCTTGAACAACATGTTCCTCCAATCTAACCCAGTCTGTTCACATACCCCGAAATCTTTGATGTACTGAAGGAAAGCCCATTCTTGGGCCCCGCCCCAGAGATGTTGGTCCCAGAGATCAGAGGTCCAGCCAAGGAACCTGCATTTTAAACAAGCAGGGGACAGGTAGGCTGGGCTGCTTTGGGGCCCCTGCAATCCAGGGAGGTCCCCAGACCAGCAGCGGCAACAGCAACTAGAGCCACGGAGATGGAGAAGTTCAAGTACACGGCTGACTTCCTGGACCAGAACCTGCATTTTCATCCCATCCCCAGTTGATCCGCGTGCTCATTAAAGTTCAACAGAGAGCTTATAGGAACTTTCTGAGGTCCCTGAGCAACAAGTACAATTCATACTGAGGCATCATCGCTGCTCTTGTCAGCCATGGGGAAGGCGGGCAAGGACCCGAGCACCGAGTCTAAATAGGCACGAGCAGGCACAGTCCGAGGTCTTGGCCCACAGACACCGCTGTCTGCAAGGTGCAGTCCCTGCTCTCAGGACGCTGGCTCAGCATCCTGGCTAAACCTGAAGGCTAACATCTTAACATTCAATTCTAGAGGCATGTTTCTCCAAACATTTCATCTACTTTAGCAGCCAAAAAATCCCACAGACACTTCCCCCACCTGCTCTTGTTCCCAACAAACAGAAGACACCAGAAAGAAGGAAAGCTTTCCTCCCATGAGCCAGATGACAGGAACCCTGGTGCCTAAACTGTCCACACACAGCTGCAGAGCCTTCCCCGCCGCCCCCCAGTTGACCTGACGCCGCTATCCAAACACCTTTGGCCACAAGGAGCTGGTGGGCTGAGAGGCAGCCCGTCCCCTTCCAGCAGTCCGGAGTGCTGGGTAGAAAGCTTCCCTTTCGAGTGAGCCTGTCTGCTGGGGGCCCGAGGCCCGCTGGCTTGAGCAACACCGAATAATCCTAATCCCTCCTCCACTCGAGCCTTTAAATGCTTCACAAGTGACTTGCTTTCCCTTCTCCAGATTTAACCTCCCGAGTTCCTAAAATGACTTCCAGACTCTTCACTAATTCAGAATCCCTGGTTTGGACTTGTTCGCAGACAGCTATGACTCTCTTGATTTGTGGTCCCCAAAACTGAATGTACCATTCCAGATGTGGGCTGGTAAGTGTGGAGCACAAGGGGGCAATTTTCTCCATCATCAGGACAATCTCCTCCTAATATTCACTCTAAGAACACATTTTCTTTCAGCACCCATATCATCCTGTTGGGCTTTTCTAACTGTGTGGTCAACTAAAACCCAAAGCTTATACAAATATGAATTTCTGTGAAGGCAGGAGTCCCCAGTCTTATGGCATTAATGTTTTTAAGCCTAAATACAACACATTTCTACTAAATTTTATTTTGTGCATTTTGGCCCGTATTTCCAGGCTGCTGAAATATTCTGAATTTTTATTCAGTTATGCAGTATGTTAGTTACTCCAGCTTCTGTGCGATGAATATTCTTTACAGGTATGCCTTCTATGTCTAAGTCTTTGTAAGGTTATTTCTGGGTTTTGTCTTTATTTTGTGAGTTCTGAATTCTGAATTTTGTTAATTCTTATAAGTAAACTATTGGGGCACCTGGGTGGCTCAGTCGGTTAAGCATCTGCTGTGGCTCAGGTCATGACCCCAGAGTCCTGGGATCAAGCCCTACATCAGCCCCTTCTCAGCAGGGGAGTCTGCTTCTCCCTCTCCCTCTCTCTGCTCCTGCTCGCTCTCACTCTTTCTCTCAAGTAAATAAAAAAAAAATCTAAAAAAAAACTCTTATAAGTAAATTATTGATTGGTGTCTCAAAATAAAGGTCCTACATGAGCATATTATTAACTGCACAAGTGATAACATGGCGGTAAAGAAAACAGACTTTGAGTCATTAGACAAATGACAAAATGGGAGAAAATATTTACAATTTATGTCTCAGAGGAAGGACTAATCATTCTAATTTATTAAGTAATTCCAAAAAAAAAAAATATAGAAAAGGTGAAAAAGCAGAAAAGTGAGCAAAAGATACAAACAGAAAAAAAAATGTAGCTATCTGAGGACATCGATGTTAACTAAACTTCTTGTGGTCATTTCGCAGTATACACATCCATCCAATCATTGTGTCGTACCCCTTAAACTTACATGATGTTATGTGTCAGTTTAGATCCCAATAAAACCAGGCACAAAAAGACATAAACAGTTCACAGAACCAGATATACCAATTGTACTTAAACATATGAAAAGATGCCCAATGTCAGGCAAAGTAAGAGAAATGCCCACAAAACTACACGAGATACCATTTCCTCCCCTTCATGCCACAAAAACTCAAGCGTGGCATCACTCTCTGTTGGTGAAGCTGAGGGGAAACAGGCATTCTCCGCACTCACTCACACTCCACGTGTGAACGCAAAAGGGAAGAGCCCTGTGGTGGGGGGTTTGGCAATATCTAACAAAGCTCCACGTGCGGGTACCCTTTGACCCAGCAATTCTATTTCTAGGTAATTGCCTGAAGATGTAAGTTCATAATATGAAATAACAGATGCACAAAGTTATTCCGTTCATTAAGGCACTAGTGGTAAAAAAACCAAAAAACCTGGAAAAACGTGAGAGAGGGAAAATAAAGTATGCATATTCATCTGCATATAAATATGCACAAATACATGTTTACTTATGCAAAAAGAAAAATAGGAAAGATAACCAGAAATCAAGATATTGATGGAAGTAAAATTTCTCCAAGTATTTTTTTACAGTTTTGATTTTTGAACCATGTAAGTATTTTATACACTAAAAAATTTTAAATACAAATGGATGCAAAAGGTAAACAAAATGGGGCGCCTGGGTGGCTCAGTTGGTTAAGCGACTGCCTTCGGCTCAGGTCATGATCCTGGAGTCCCTGGATCGAGTCCCGCATCGGGCTTCCTGCTCGGCAGGGAGTCTGCTTCTCCCTCTGACCCTCCCCCCTCTCATGTGCTCTCTCTCTCTCATTAAAAATAAATAAATATTTTAAAAAAAAAAAAAAAAAAAAAAAAAAGGTAAACAAAATTATTGCAAACAGAAAAAACAAGCCTAACTGTCTGTTAGATTGATAACATAACCATACGGAGAAAAAAGTTATATCAAGTAGCTTTTAAAATACAGTATTTTGACTGCAAATCATTAATGGTAGATATTCTATGGACCAAAGAACTACTAAGTTTACTTAGTAGGCTTGATGTTGTTAATGGTGGTGTAATTTTACAACTATTTTGAATGTAGAGCAAGTGAGTCTACATGTTTATGGAGACAGGAGGCACGGATTACAGAATAGGGAAAGGAGAGGAAGGATCCCGTGGTGTCAAGTTGGCTACCAGAGGTACCAGTGAGGACTCCCTATTCAAATATACAGAATCAGATCCAAGGAAATTCCCCGGCGTGCAGTCAGAAAGATTAAGAAAGTGAAACTATAGAATAAAAGGCAAATGAGAGAATGAATAGGATGTGCTTTATTACTCAAGCAAAGCAGAGTGTTTTTCACTTATTAAGGGAATCACATCTGGCAAGATGGCGGACTCAGCCGCTGTGAACATCTTTCCCGCTCCAAATTCATTGAAATGCTGGGTTAAATATGACCTGAAGTTTTAAAAAGAAAAAAAAGAAAAAGAAAGAAAAAGAAAGAAAAAGAAAGAAAGAAAGAAAGAAAGAAAGAAAGAAAGAAAGAAAGAAAGAAAGAAAGAAAGAAAAAGAAAAGCCAAGAAAGAGAAATCCATGGGTATCAGAAACAAAATTCAAAGCCAGAGTTATAATCCCACACCTGTGGCCAGAAGAGTATCAGACCTAGTTCAAGACCCCTAGGGCTGAGGTTTTTTATGTGGGAGGGTGACTCTGAGCTCCACAGGCAGAGAACTGGAACCAATGCCCTGCATAAACAGCGGGTTCTAGAAGGGCAGCCCCCTCCATGAAAAAGGGATTAGAAAAACTCCTCCCACTGGCAAAGGGAAGCAGCAAAAACACAGTCATTTACCCGAGGCTCTGGGTGGAGCATGAAACACTTTCTTCCATGAGAAATCAAACATTAAGTCATGTGCCATGCTGATGTGGGTACCAAATCCATGCATTCTGCATGGGGCAGAAATCCAAACTAATAAATCCATGTAAAAATTAATGCTGACAAAAGTAAGCATAAAATGGCTCTGTAGTGAATTTCCACATTCAAAAAACAAACACTCAATGAAAGTGAGTGCACAGCATTCACGAGGGAGAGTCAACAAAACAAAAAGAACTGACATTCCAAGAACTTAAATTAATAGAAAAAGATGAATGAGACTGTAAAATAAATACTATTAAAAGCTTTAAAAAAAAAAGGAGGTAAGAACCATAATGAAAGAACAAGACATCATGAAAAAATGGTAAGCAACCATGAAAAAGAATCAAATAGAAATTCTAGAAATTAAAATTTTAGTTGTCAAAATTAAAAACTCAATGGTTATGCTGAACAACAGATTTAGCTAAAGAGAAAGATGGTAAACTGGAAGACAGCTCTGAGGAAATTACTCAAAATGCAATTAAAAAGATTAAACTGAAAGTATGAAAAGGCAAGATTCATGGAGGACAGGATAAGAAGATCCAACATAAGTTCAACAGAAGGGCAGCAAGACATTAAAGAGAATGTGGGTAGCAGATGCTGCTTGGGGCCTACCCAACCACCACTCTGGTTTTTCTTACTGGCAGAGCTCTGACTTTGTTTTGGTGTAATCCTCCAGTGACTCAGAGAAGGTTGATCCTCCCTACTTCTGGAAGCTAGATCCTGGTTGGTCTA